CTTTGGATAAGAACAGATGTCCCTAGTTTATTTGGAGGGTATGCTATATTTTGGCAAGCAAAAGGAAGGCATTATTATAGCTCAAGAAGATGTTCTCATCTAGCAAAAGAACTGGAGGAAGGTGCGGATAATGACTGGTGACCGGGGAGAGTCCTGAGGGCCAGACAGAGAGATGGAGGCCTTCATTTGGCCCCTAGCCTGAATTTTCCCCTTTCTTGGGTTTAGAACACCTATTTGAGGACAGAGAAGTTGAGGGTTGCAGAATAAGAATTGGGACTATTTTGGGTTGGTGGCGTTTCCTAAAACCTTCTGCAGAGAAAGAATAATGTCCCCCAAAGACTTGGAACAAACTTCAGATGGGAAGCAGGAAATAAATGATCTTGTTTAATGTATGGATCCACATGTCAGCTCCTGGTTCCCTTGCCCTTGCTGGCTGACCCTTCACTGTCAGAAAAAAATGATAGGCTATCTACTTTAAGGACTAAAAAAAAAAAATTCTAAGCTAGCTGAAAGTAACATTTCCAGACAGGGAAAGAAAAGGGGAGGGGGAGTCAAAAGCTTCTGGCAGCTATTCAATAATAGCCAAGGTATTTGTATTTCAAAAGCAGCTCTTGGCTGCAATCCAGAGAGTGGTACAACTCTACTAGAGCTGCGTGAAATGTTCACCCATTTCAATATTCAGGCCAAAAATTGCCTCTTGGGGAGCCAAATATTTCTTCTGAACAAGCACACAAACACATTAAGAAGTCGCGATGAAGAAATCGCAGTTTCATCTTGGTTAAGGAAGTTTTATTCTCCAAGTTTCATTATGAAATGAAGCTTACTGTTCAGCATGCACACGGGAAAGTGCACTTGACATTTCCATGTGGAAGCTGAAGTATAACACTTCCCGTAACTCATGTGAGAGCAAAGGTTATCAGTGGTTATTAGCCACAATGGGTGTGTTCTCCCTCCTCTGTTGGAGGCAGAGGGCCTCAGAATAACAGTTTCTGGGAAACACAAGTGGGGAAAGTGTTGGTGTGCTCAGATCCTGCTTACTAGGCACTTGGTTGGCCACTGTGAGAACAGGATGCTGGCCTAAATGGGCCACTGGTGCGATCTAGCTAGGCTCTTTGTATGTTCTTATCTAATAACTAGAGCCTCCTGCCAAGAGACCAGGTAGAATTTCAAGCTACCAAGGTATATTCTTCCTGCTTTGAGCTTTTTCCACCTCTTAAAATTTGTGTTCAAATTCTATTTCATTGATCTGATAAATCGGTTTTTCGTGTGTTTTTTACCTATAGACTGAACTCTGATTTCCTTAATAACCCCAAAGTTGCATCCAGACTGTGTTAAGTTCTATCTAGGTTCCATTAACATTGAATGAACATTAGCCATGAATTCCTAGTTTCCATTGAAGTCATTTTATTATATTTTATTTTTATTTTTTGTTAATAAGTCACTTCTTCTCCTGGGAAAAGACCACCAGGTAGGACCTTCACCAATTAGTGGATCTGTAAGCTACCTTGTTTTCCGTAGTTTAGCTCCACCTACCTGTAGCCCCTCATGTTCTCCCTTGTAGAGTTTTCCTTTCCCCACCCTTGAACCTTTCCATTTCTCTCTCCTTGCTTGCCACTGGACTTTACTAACTTGGGCTTGTTTCCTTACGTTTCCCTGTACCTTTATTTCTCCTTATAATCCAATTTTCTCTCTCCTATTTTCACTTTCCTTGCTCTGTTGCCCATCCATGGTCTGTAAAGCCATCAAATATCTGTCTGTTCAATCTACCTAGCTCTCTGGGACCTCTCTCTTGCATTCCAACATCCTGCCTTTTATGCAGATGCTGTGAGCATCTGGGTAATGCTGCACAGCTGCTCCTGTCCCATCCTGTCACCTCCAGCTCACCCGTGTTTTGATTTGAGCTAGCAGAGAGACAGGGACAACATAGATGGCAACAGCATCCTCACGACACATAACAATATGAACATTATCAAGTGAAATCCACATGAGACTCCTTAAAATGTGCCGCAAATCTTCCACCAAGACACAGCAATTAATAAAACAGCATACTGAAATAAAAAAAATATTAAGAGTTACTGTAAAAATTGGGAGCAATCGGTCCAATGTGCTTTCTGGGGGAGGGCATTCCACAAAGAATGAGCCCTAAGGACATCTGTCAATCTACTACAGACTTCCTCAACCTCAGCCTTCCAGGTGTTTTTGGCCTTACAACTCCCATTATCCCTAGCTAGCAGAACCAGGGGTCAGGGATGATGGGAATTGTAGTTGCAAAACATCTGGAGGACCGAAGTTGAGGAAGCCTGATCTAGTATGTCTTATTGATGGGCCAGAGATCAGAGGCTGATTTTGGAGCCCAGGCAGCCTCATACAAGTCAAGCAGTCCTTCTCATAACCTGATCTCAAACCATCTGGGGGCAGTGATAGGCAACCTGTATTCCTCCAGATCTTGTTAGATTACAGCTCCCATCAAACCTAGCCAGCATGGTCAGGGAGATGAATGTTGAATCCAGCAACATCTGGAGGGCAATAGGCTGCCCATCCCTGCTTTAAAGAGTCCACCTAACCAGAGGGCAGACGTCAACTGAACTCATTCCCTTAGCACCAGGGCCAGAAGAATAAGAGATGGGGCCTATGCAGACATCTTCCCCTGAGTCTGAGTTCTCCTCTGCTGCATTGCAAGTCCAATAGGGCAGGGAGTGCATCAGAAGATGTAGCAGAATTTTCCCATTTTATTTCATCTTTGGATTCATTTTGTGCAGATAGAGCTTTGCAGTCTGAAATCTGTGTATGAGCCTTGGTAAACCTTTCCTAGTAGAACAAACAGACTGTTTTAAATATGAGCAAGCCTGTGTTCCCTTACAATTCTTAGCACCACTGAATGCAAACATATAAGATATGTCGACAGATAACAAAACACTAGGAGATCGGCCAAGCATAGTAATTACACAAATTCCTAGGTCAAGAAGAGAACAAAAATATCAACATAGATAAATGCAGACATTGGCAGGCCACTGATACACAGAGCAATTAGTCAGAAGACCATGAAGACACTGATAGATGCTTCTGTGTATCCACATGAGAAGGATGGGGTGGGCTAGTCAGAAAAGCCAATGGATTTCTGCGTGGTTCAAGAATGATGACAGTGTGTTTTGACTGTGCAACTGGAATGGCCAAGATTGCTGTACAGTGGTGCCCCGCAAGACGAATGCCTCGCAAGACGGAAAACCCGCTAGACGAAAGGGTTTTCCGTTTTGGAGGTGCTTCGCAAAACGAATTTCCTATGGGCTTGCTTCGCAAGACGAAAATGTCTTGCGAGTTCCTGCGGGGTTTTTTCCCTTCCCCCCCCTTTTTCCCAAGCCACTAAGCCGCTCATCAGCTGATCCGCTAAGCCGCTAAGCCGCTTATCAGGTGATCCGCTAAGCCGCTTAACAGCTGATCCGTTAAGCCACTAAGCCGCTTATCAGCTGATCGGCTAAGCCGCTTAACAGCTGATCCGTTAAGCCACTAAGCCGCTTATCAGCTGATCTGCTAAGCCCGCTAAGCCGCTAATAGCGCTAATCCACTAAACCGCTAATGGGCTTGCTTCGCAAGACGAAAAAACCGCAAGACGAAGAGACTCGCGGAACGGATTCTTTTCGTCTTGCGAGGCACCGCTGTAACTGTCTGACTGGTTAAGCTGTAATCACCTGTGTAGTTGGATGTGTAAAAGGATTGTGCCTGGCATCATTAAAGGGCAACATCCCTCTGATTTTATTTATATTTTTTAGGAGGCTGACCCTACGTAGGTTTGTATTAATAAAGGCCTAATTTTTCTCCTAAAGCCTGTGTCTTTTGGTGTTCCTTTGGGGAACCACAGTAGGATGAACCTTTTACAACTTTTAAACAAAAAAGAGAGGTGCTTGTGCTATAATTGACCTGCAATGTTGCCATGCCTCACTGTGCTCCATGGCCTTCTCCTAAAAACCAGGATAAGGCAGCAGTTGAGATGTTCTGCTGCTTGTTTACTTTCTTTTGGTTTGGCTTTTTTTGCTGCATTTAGATTTCTTTCTGTTTGCTCTGCTTTTCCTTGATTTTCCACTGTATGTTGCTTGCTTATCTTTCAGAATTTAATTGCTAGCTACCATGGGGGGCTGCTTTCACAACAGAAAAGCAGGATAAAAGTCCTTATAAGAGAATATAATAATAATAATAATAATAATAATAATAGGGGGAGAATTGTGAAAAAAAATGATGTATGGTGCCCAAGAGTCTCTGTGACATGGAGATGCATGTTGAACAGCTGTTCTAAGCAGAACAGAACATTACTCTTTCCAGGACAGAATCTCTTCCAAAGCAATATGTCAGGAGCTGGGAACTTCCTCTATGTGCCACTGCCCCATGTGGTGAGTCACAGAACTGCAGCTTGAAGCACCTGCCTCATCAGTGAAGTCTGATTTAACACAGTCCTCCCAAATTTGGGTGTGTTCCTTCCTGTATTCTTTTGTTGATCCAAGCTTCAGGTTTGTGCCTTGTTCCTCTCACCTGGTTTATCATATTCAGCCATAAAACTCACTGGGTAGCCTTGGACCCAATCACTGCCTCTCAGCCTAACCTAAACTCACAAGCCTAACCTAAACTCACAAGTTTGTTGTGGGGATTAAATGATGATGGGGAGGACTTTGTCCACCAGCTCGAGCTCCTTGCAGAAAAAGGTAGGACAGAAATGCAATAAATGTAAGTAAGTGGCAAGAGGATAGAAGATGAAGATTGCCTTGCCTCAGAGGAGGTGAATATTGGAGGTAAAGGGAAGGAAATAATAAGGTCTAGGATTGTTAACTCAGTTGTGAGCCTGGGTAAAGAGAAATCAAATTTATTCAGAAACTTTACTGAAACAGTGTGGGTTGTGGGTTAGGATTGCTCTTTTACTTTGCAATCCAAAAACCTACTTCCTGGCAGTAAATCTCACAGACCTCAATGGGAATTATTTGAGAGTAGATAAAACAAACAAACAAACAAAATTCCTTCCAGTAGCACTTTAGAGACCAACTAAGTTTGCACACGAAAGCTCATACCAATAACAAACTTAGTTGGTCTCTAAGGTGCTACTGGAAGGAATTTTTGTTTGTTTGTTTCGATTACGGCAGACCAGCACGGCTACCTACCTGTAACTTGAGAGTAGATCGGCGTTGTTAGAAACTCTTGCATCTTTAGAGGAAATTACTCTTAAAAACCCAGTCTTCAAATGAAGCACAGATTATATTAACTTAACATTTTTGTTTTTCTATTGATTTCCCCCTTCATTATAGGTGTCTCTTTTTTTCACACATGGTAAATATTTCTGGAATCTGTGTCCTAAAATCAGTGTCTCCTTGTAGTGAGATTTACTTTTCACTGAAACAATATAATTCAGGGAAGGGCTGAACCACGCACATTTATAATTTAGAATAGCAACTAGAGAATAAATAACAAGGAAGACTTTTTAATATATAAAAAAAGCAAATGCGCTGTCAGGACATGTAATAACGTTAATGAGCACAAGACTTTAAGCTTCCGTGTGCCAAACTCTGTAATTTTAAATGCAAAAAGAGAATATTCACGACCACATTGCAAGAATACAAGGAGGCGACAAAGACAGCTGTTGATGTGCACCTTCCTTCTCAACTCTGCTATCTGCATCTTATCTGATCAGGTCCCTTGTGTTTATGACAAAGGAGGATTCATTTTGAAATTTAAAAATACAAAGGGGTGGGAAGAAGTACCTCCCAAAAGGCTTCTTTCCCTGTTTCCTTGATTGAGGACCACAAAGTAATCTTCATAGTTGTACCTGTCAGCCTTTTCTCCCTGAAATCTGCCTCTGCAGTGCTCACCTGCTGTATCTCAGCAGGGCAGGGGAAAGGGGTGTGGCTTAGAGAAAATAGGCGGGGCATAATGGAGATTGACAGAGCCAGAATCAGAGGTCTTTGGAGCCAGATTGTGCCCATCAGCTGGAGGCTCCCCCCAGTGCTGGAGCCAGCTGCTCTGGCACCCGGAGCGGTGCATGTGCTAGGCGAGGCTAGCCACCTGCGGGGGTGCACTGGCGAGCCTTCCAAGCAGGTGCACCAGCTATGGCAAACATCCCAGGGGGGTGCTGCCTGTGGCGACGTCACACACCCCTCAGGGATGACACCCGGGGCGGACTGCACCCACCGCACCCACCTTGCTCCACCACTGGGCTCCCCATCACTTTTGTAACCAGTAATGTATATGTATTTTTTCTATTTCAGGATACAGTACATGGGGCTGTTCAGGTAAAGCATAGCAAGGTGCAGGTCAGATTGATGAGATACAGGACCCTAATGGGCTAGACAGCATCTTAAAAAGCAGAGACATCACCTTGCCAACAAAGGTCCATATAGTTAAAGCTATGGTTTTCCCAATAGTGATGTACGAAAGTGAGAGCTGGACCATAAAGAAGGCTGATCGCCGAAGAATTGATGCTTTTGAATTATGGTGCTGGAGGAGACTCTTGAGAGTCCCATGGACTGCAAGAAGATCAAACCTATCCATTCTGAAGGAAATCAGCCCTGAGTGCTCACTGGAAGGGCAGCTGAGGCTCCAATACTTTGGCCACCTCATGAGAAGAGAAGACTCCCTGGAAAAGCCCCTGATGTTGGGAAAGATGGAGGGCACAAGGAGAAGGGGATGACAGAGGACAAGATGGTTAGACAGTGTTCTCGAAGCTAGGAACATGAGTTTGACCAAGCTGCAAGAGGCAGTGGAAGACAGGAGTGCCTGGCATGCTCTGGTCCATGGGGTCATGAAGAATCGGACATGACTAAACAACTAAACAACAACAATGGGCTAGGGCTCCCCTGGCAGCAAACTGTGGGCAGGTGGTTTATAGGATGATGCCACCTTAGGCAAACACATGCAATATGCATGTAGTTTGTGTACGTAGGGGAAGATGCTTTTTGTACTTTGTACTCGTTTCAAGAGACAGGGCCCCGTGCAGCTAAAACCTCAAGGGGCATATATATTTATCCCGTGTACTTATATAACGCTTAATACTAAGACGGCCTCAAAGAGTCAGGAATCCCTTCCCTGTTCACATGCCATCTTGCCAAGGCACATCCTGACTCACACCTAACACAAACACATCGCACAATAGGAAACAAAGGCCAGCATGAAACTCATTTTTATCTTGCTCTGTAGGATAGGAAGGTGTCGAGTGAGGGTCAGAAATGGGCCAATTCCTGTCATTTCAGACAAAAAAATAATAATTAAGGGCCTCTTCAGTAGCATTTTTATTTCCAAAGCTCTCTTAAAAACAAAAGCTCGACACAAAAATTTACTTCTCTTCATGTAGCCTGACGATTTCTGTAGATGAAATAAAAAATGGTTTGAAACTACAGTTGCCATAGAGATGGTAGAACACCTTACAGCATTGTGATGGGGCGGGGGGAACCCACACCAATTTACTAGAAACAGCAAGAATTAAGACAGGAGGGTAAAAACTTATACAGTGATAACTCGGGTTACAGACACTTCAGGTTACAGACTCCGCTAACCCAGAAATAGTACCTCGGGTTAAGAACTTTGCTTCAGGATGAGAACAGAAATCGTGCTCCGGCAGCGTGGCGGCAGCAGGAGGCCCCTTTAGCTAAAGTGGTGCTTCAGGTTAAGAACTGTTTCAGGTTAAGAACGGACCTCCAGAACGAATTAAGTCTTTAACCTGAGGTACCACTGTAAAATAAGGTGTGTATGAATAGGACCTGCAGCTAGGTGTTACAGCGAGCAGTATTCCTGCTCAGCATTCCAGTCAGTTAGCATCAATGTCCATTCCATTCTCCATCCCACATTGTTTTGTGTTTCTGCCCCCATCCCAAGTCAACCATCATTCAGTGGCTTCCCATAGCCATCTGGAGATCTCTCCATTGACTGACATATGGGAAGGAGGTGGGAAAATCACATACAACCCCAGGAAATAATGCTGGTGTGGGGGTTGGCTTCTGTTCACCCCAGAGATTTTGGGGAACAGGAAAGCTCAATCCATTTGACTTCCAGATTAACATATTCGGTTTTTTCCACATGCTACATGCTGTCGCTGTGACTGAAATAGCTCCCACACATATGTTGCCTAATGAGTACCTCATGTGCCTAAGAAAATTTGATCGCGCCTAATCAAAGCTGAGGGTCTTTAGCATATGTGGCAATTTAGCAGGAGCTCATGATCTACCTGCTTTGCCATGCTCTATTATGAATCACACGTTTAATTTTAAAGCAAGATGTCTTAATATCTCTGGTGTGGGGAAAACAGATGTTCTTGGTTTTTAAACTGTTTGCATGCAATTGAATTATTATGGCGGAGCTTGCAAGACCAGGCATGGGAAACCTCAGGATACCAAATTATCAGTAGAGAACTGTTACAAACAACTATTGAAAACATTAAAAAAAAAAATGATTAAAATCAATGATCAGCTGGAAGCCACATTAAAACACACACCAACATTCCACATGACAGGAGGGGCTTTCCTGATCAACAGTGGCTTTAGCAGGTACAGTGAAGGCACCTGCCTGATATCAATAAACAGGGAGTTCTCAAGTGTGGCCACTACCGCACAAATAGATGGATTTCTAACAAATGTGTAATGTGGCACCTGTAACGGTGCCACTTCTGCAGATCAAAGCAGTTGAGGGGGCATATATGGGGTAAGGTGGTCTTGCGAGTAAACTGGTCCTATGCTTTTAAGGGCTTTATGTACTAATAGTAACACCTTGAATTTGGCATGGAAGAGAACTGGCAACCAGTGCAGGTTTCTGAGCAAAGGTTTTATATCCTGACAGAGTCTCAGTCCTGTCAGCAATAGTGCTGCAGCATTCTGCACTAACTGCAGCTTCTAAATCAAGCACGATGGAAGCACCATTTCTTGTCTACAATGTCTTTTCTGAGCTATCGAGGTGACCAGAACTGTGTACAATATTCCATGTTTAGATGTTCCATTTTTAAAAGGCATCATGATATCGTACAACCCCTTTCCTAACCAATGCCAAACACAGAATTTCTTTTTGTCACCGCTGCTACATGTTGGGTCAACATTTTCAATCGAGCTTGCCACCACAAACCCCTGGATCCCTTTCCTGGTAGTCACCCCCAGTTCAGGCCCCATCGGTATTTATTTGAAGTTAGAATTTACACTCATGGGCTCCATACATGATATCATGCTGTACGATAGCCACCTCTCCACTGCTGGCAATCAAGGATGTGAAGTGGGGACATGGCTCAGTAACTTCATGCAGTGAGCTGTGTTAATTTAGACCAGGCTTCCTCAACCTCGAGATGTTTTGAGACTACAGTTCCCATCATCCCTGAGCACTGGTCCTGCTAGCTAGGGATCACGGGAGTTGTAGGCCAAAAACATCTGGAGGGCCGAGGTTGAGGAAACCTGATTTAGACATTACAGGGGCTGAGAACAATGGAGCAGGATTGTAGCTCAGTAGAAGATTGTAGCTCAGTGGTCTGACTCAGTATTAAGGAGCTTCCTATGCTTTGGGGAAGTGTCATGACTCAGAGGTAGAGCCCACACCTTGCATGCAGAAGGTCCCGGGTTCAATCCCAGCATCTTCAAGTTGGGCTGGGAGAGATTCCTCTCTGGACAGCTCCTTCTAGTAATCCTTGACCACTGGTCCTGTTAGCTAGAGATGATGGGAATTGTAGTTCCAAACATCTGGAGGGCTGGAGTTTGCCTATGCCTGGTGTAGACAATACTGAGCTCAATGGACCAGTGGTCTGATTCAGCACAAGGCAGCTAAGACAGTCATTGGGTGTCTGGTAGTATCTAATTCCACCCAGTCTAATGGTTGTGGATGGTCAGGTGTGGTGGGAGTAGTATTCTGCCCCTGATTTAGCTCCGCTGTCTGAGCTTCTGTTTTTTTTGCTCCTGGCTGTTCTGAGCGCTGCCGATTTCCTACACGGCCACAGCTGCTCATCTTGCATTAGCTTTGGGCAACGCCGAAATGCCATCACTCAGATGGCTCATCGGTCATTCGTAGCTTGCTGTCCGCCCTGCCAAAAGAGGATCACTTATTACAAGACATGGCAGGGAGACGCTGTCCTTACAGCTGTGGAACCGCCT